GATCCCAAGAAAACTGCGGAGACTGAGCTGGCTCACAATTATTAGGATAGGGAGTATAGAGCAAGCTAATATAGTGCTAGACTAGGGGTTGTCTAGGACTTTAAAAGATTAGAAACAGAGATATATAGAAGCAACTATAGGATAATACAGTGCTTTAAATATCAACACTATAGGCACTTAGCAGCTAAGTATATAAAGACAACTAATACCTGCTCCTATTATATAGGGGATTACTAGGTTAAAGAATACAAAGTATATAAGGGAGAAGTAAGATGTGTATACTATACTAAAAGACACCCCTCTTAGGCGAAGGAATGCCTAGTAAGAATATAGGTAGCTAGGAAGGCAAAGGAAGCTAGAATTAACACACTAAAAAGATACATAACAAGCTAGGGCAGCTAGGTACAGAAGCAACCTAGCTAAGTACTATAAAAGAGGTCTAGACAAGATAATAGGTTTACATTTAGGGCCTTACTAGTATAAGAGAGTCACTAGCAACTAGGGAGACTAAGATACCTTAACATTGTAGGAAAGGAAGTAGGGCAGATAAAGCTTAGTTAAATGTTAGTCTAAAGTAAAGGAAGACTAAAGGAAAACTTATAGGGAAATAATATAGATAAAACCTAATAAACATTACAACATTACTAAACATTATATAGTACAATGTTAATAAGAGCAAAGACAAGGTATAGAGGAGCTTCCTTTAAGCACTAAACCTAAAAGAATATTACATTATTACAATCTAAGAGCCCTAGCTCAACCTATATATAAAGAGACTAGCAATAGTCAAAGACCTAAGATACTACCTAATTATCTACAACTAGGGAGCCCTAAGGATATATATCTATATTAGCAAGGAGATAGATATAGAAACCTAGCAGGCTATACTATAGGAGGATAGGGACCTAATATTAGTTTAAATAGAGACATCCTAAGGTACACTCTAAGTCTACTATATATACAACCCACTACTAGACTTAAGAAGCAGTACCTAACTGAAAACCCTAGAAAGACTACCTAGAGTTATCTAGGGGAACACCTACTAAATCCTACTTAGGGATTTCAACCTCTACTACCCCCTCTAGGGCTTAGACTTTACCCTAGCTTACTACTTCCTAGTAGGAAGACTAATTAATATATTAGAGAGGGAAGGAATAGAAATTGTTACCCTAAAGGGACTAATTACCTAGGAGGCAAGAGGAAGCAGTAGTATACTAGACCTATACTTTATATTATATTAGATTAGGAATAGGATTACAAGATGCAGGGTTAACTAGGAACTAGAAGAATTATTAGACTACTTCCCGGTATAGATTGAGCTAAATGTCTAAGCTAATTAGGAAAGGGAACTAGAAGAGAAGCTTAACTAGAAAGGTGCCTAATAGGGCAGGATTAGGGAGGAACTAGAAAGGGACCTAAAACTAGAGGAACTCTTAATAAAGCACCTACTAAGGCTAGAGGACATTAATAAGGCAGTAGAAGAACTAATAGGAATCCTAAAACAGGTAGCTAGAAAGTATACCCTAGCAAAGAAACATTTACTATACTAGCAACTATACTAGACTAATAAGTATATAAGGAAGGTTAAAGCAGCAAAGAAGGCTAGGAGGTAGTAGATATAAACCTACACCTAGGAAGCATAGGATAACTATAATAAAGCCTACTAGGAAAAGAAGATCTAGATTAAGAAAGATAAGATACAAGAATAGAGATCTATAATAGGAATAATTACAAAGAAACTAGAGGAGATATAGAGGATAGCTAAATAGGTAAGGAGACCTAAACAGGATAAGGACATACTACTACAATTCCCGGATATTATAGACTAATAAGGACAAATGCAGACTATAATAGAAGGGAAAGTAAGAGCCCTAGGCTAACACTTCTTCTATAGAAAAGTATAAGCAGACCTATTAGATATAAAGGAGAAAGAACAAGAGACTCTACTACTAGGTATACTAAGAGACACCTAGGTTAAACCCGAAACTATTAAAAGGATCCTAAAGAAAATTCTAGGTAATAAGGCACTAGGAGAAGACAAGATCTATAACAAACTTCTAAAAGTATATAGGAAGGGGCTAGCCCTAGTACTAGCTAATATCTTTTTATAAAGCCTAGCACTAGGACACTACCTAAGACTATTTAGGAAGTCCCTAATAGTAGTGCTAAGGAAGCCCTAGAAGGAAGACTATATACAGCTTAAGGCTTATAGACTAATAGCCCTACTTAATACAATAGGCAAGGTACTAGAAAAAATTGTCGCTAAAAGGCTAATAACCTTTACCGAGGAAAGGAACATCCTTCCTAAAGGCTAGATAGGAGGAAGAAAGAAGAGGTTAATACTAACAGCTATAGAACTAATTATAGAACAGATTAAGTATATCTAGCACTATAGTTAAAACTAGGTAGCAACCCTCCTCTCCCTTAATATCTTAGGAGCCTTTAACAATATCTCCTATAAAAGGCTCCTATATATACTTAAACAGAAAGCTATACTAAACTAGATAGTCCAATTTATCTAGTCCTTCCTATAGGAAAGATTAATATAGCTTATTCTAGGCAAATTTAAATCAGACCTAATACTAACTAAAAAGGGAATCCCCTAAGGATTAACACTCTCCTTAATCCTCTTCCTTATCTTTATAGCAGACCTACTCCTACTCCTAGAATCAAAAACATATTAGCATTAGGGTTTATAGATAATACAAACATCCTAGCCTAGTCTAAGACAACAGAAACAAACTGCAAGATCCTAGAAGAGAAGTACTAGGAGTATAAGAAATAGGCAAGGAGGTATAGAGCAAAATTCGCCCTAGAAAAGTACTAGCTTATCTACTTTAGTAAGGCTAAATCAACCTATAATATAAAGCAATTAATCACTATCTAAGGCTTTAAAACCCAACTATTAGTAGAGCTTAGAGTACTAGGGATCTAGCTAGATCTAAAACTAAATTAGGGACTATAAGTAAAGAAGGCAAAGCAGAGGGCAGATGCTAATATGCAATCCATTAATAGGCTTATAGCCTCTATATAGGGGGCTACGTTCGAGAAAGCCAAAGTTATATATAAAGCAATTGTTAAGCTAGCAATACTATATAGAGTATAGATATAGACAGCCTAGGAGAAAACACTAAAGAGGATTAAGCAACTAGTTAGTAGGTCCTAAACCTAAAGCCTAAAGAAAATCCTAGAAGCATATAAAACTACACTAACAAGGGTAGTAGAAATAGAATTAGGGATCCTACTAGTTAAACAATACTTCAAGGGACTAAGACACTAATATACAGCAAAGATAATAGAATACCTAGCCTAACAGACTATCTAAAAGGCACTAGACAAGATAAAAGCCTAGTATATTAGGACTAGGAGGCGAGACAGACTACAAATAACTCCCTAGAAAGTCAAAGACCTAGAGTAATATAGAGTCTTAATAAGAGAAATGCTAGAGAAAGAGCTCTAAGGACTAAATATAAGGCTAAAGGAAGATAAGCTAAAGGGAGAGAAACAAAGCCTAGCAGAATCAATTGCTAGATACCTATAGGAGTAGGAATAGAACAAAACATAAGTTAGACCGGGAACCCTTAAGGCACTAATCAAATTTAGTTAATATAACTACTAGCTCTATAAGGACCTAAATAGGGCCGAGGCAAGCCTAGCTAATCTAATTAGATCTAAACACATTAGACTTAGATCTTACCTATTTAGAAGAAACGTCTTAGGAATTGAAA